TAGTACGTTTTTGGGCTTAAAAACGCAGGATCCGATAGTTCCAAAGGAACCATAGTTCCTTTGGAACCATCTGGGTCTTGCTGTACGTATCAAAATCTTCAAGATCCAATTTGTCCCGTATCGATCTACAGACCTACCACTGTTCCAGTATTGAAGCCTATCAAAATGTTTGTATCGACTTTATTTATTTTAGAAAGAAAAACAAAAGTGGAGAATATGATTCGCTAACCGCCCGTGAAATTCTAAATCCAACGGTAACCCATTCATGGTATTTGAGCATGACAGGAGGTTATATTTGGTACAAAACCGATTTTGAGCCTTACTGTAATAATATATGTGGGGATACTATATTATAAACTATTTTATTAATTTTTAATACTATTTAATTTTTTTTTTTTTTTACATACACGATGTCACATTACAATAATATGTATACCAATGATAATAAATTGTAATTATTTCATAAAACAATTTTTTTCAAGTTATTTCTATAGAGGTTCTACTAATATATAATATATAGTATTATATTTAAAAAAATAAAAAAATCATTTCTACACAATAAATAAACAAAAAAATACAATTAAAAGTTTAGCCTAATAAAATACTGATACTAATAATAGTCATTACATTTTTTTAGCACAAAACATACATTTATAAGCAGTCTTTCATTAAACTATTTTAATATTTGAATTTCCATTAAGCATTGAAATATTACTAACAACTTACAATTAAAATAAGTTAATAAAATATGATTGAATATCTTACCAAGTAATAGGAAGTTCAAAAGTTCAGACTCATAATGGAAAGAATACAAAAATAAACTGCTTCAATCAAAATATTGATTGAAATTCTAATCTCAGTTAAGAATTTTTTCACAATGATCAATTTTTATGTATACATATACTGGTCCCATTTTGATGATATTTGTGTAAATCAATTTAAAGCTCTTTTTTATTTCATAATTAATAAAACCTAGCCTAATAACAAAATATTCATAATTTATAACATTGTCATACCTATAGGAATATTTACTTTTATTGTCAATTTTAAGATCAAATTTAACTAAAATATAAATTCTAAGGAATTAATATCTAATTATGAATACAAACATTTTTCTATATTAAAGAGCAGAGTAAGGTTTCTGAAACAGAAAGCAGACTGTCCACTGGGAAAAAGTAGAGCCTAAAACTGCCTACACTAATAATATATAATTCTGATCGAAAATATAGACCTACTCTTTTGGACAAGTTTCTGATGTTAATATAAGTAGAACCAAATTTATATTATTGGAACTTGAGTTTCTTTAATGAATAAAAAGGACACAAGTGCTTTTGAATCAATCAAACTCAAATCATGTTTTTTTCCCATTAATTACCTATATTTTTGTATGTATTAGTTGATTCCAACAGAACCAAAGAGAAAATTCTTCGTTGAATGGATTACTAAGCATAGGACTACTATATTAAAAAAAAAAAATAACCAGTTACAAATCATGGAAGGCACAACCGGGATGCTTTTTTCCCCTGGATTTGTCTGCATTTGGTTTGATAAATCTAGTCCAATACAGACAGTGGTCATTTAATCTGTGTGGACAATTCACTTTATGTTTACCTAAGGTTAAATTAAAAGCAACAGTCATGTAATTATCAATTTACAATTAACATTAAACTTTTATTGAATAAAATAATTAATTTCAGTTCGTTTTTCGATTTAATAACCAACAAAATATTTATCTAAAATCACTTTGTTTTATATAACTTACTGAGCAATGATCATAATAACTATACGATCCAATTGTAATTCGAAATTTGAGAAACTACAAAATAATTCCTATATAATTAATGTCAGAAATCTAGATAATTTATTACCTACTGTCATTTATAAATTATGAACTGTTAAAAAGGATCACATAAATTACATCATTGCTCACATTAAGTCTTGTAGAATTAAATGAAAAAATAGAGGAATATCAAACGGATGTCATTTCCATAACATCATACTTGCCTCTTTTGGCACATACTAATGGATAAAATATAGAAATATAATAAATGAGAGCTGAGCCCCCGATAACAAAAATCACCATTGAAATAATACCCCATGCTGAAAGAATACCTCCTGAGGATGCTTTGCTTACCTTCGTTGCTCCAGCTACATTAAAAAAAAGAATACAAAAATTATGTTATTAGTAGGAAAATAATTTAATAAAAAAATTAAATATGGAATAAACAATACTTGCAAATATTAATCTATCAGAACTAATTTGAATTATTTTATTTGAAAAACAACAAAAAAGCAATCACTAAAAATCAATACACAGAATTATTTATAAATCTGAATATATATATAACAATAAATATAAACATTATTTTTAATGTTAAGTACAACTTAAATTTGAATGTAAACTATTAATTGTTTAAGTAATTTAATATTTAAGAAATTCTTAATTTATTAATAATTAATTAACAATTATTAATAAATATAAATAACAAAACAAAAACATTACCTCACTATATCAACATCTAAGCTGCCCATAGAAAAAATCAAATAAGCTATTAGAGAACTTTTTAAATTAAAAATTTATGGCCAAATATTATAGATTTCATTGCTCTTAAACTTAGGCATTCATATCTCTGTAACTCATTGAATATGCAGTATATCGTAAAATAGGAGGAATAAAACACCTTGAGCGCAACATTACTCCATAGCAAAAATAATTTTACTGATAATCTGTGCAAAAACTAATAGCATGGTTAATTTATAAATGGCTTCCTTATGAAATTGGAGTTTAGTTCACTATAAAACATAAAGTTCAGAAGAAATATATGATTCTAATTTTGGAATATTACCCTCCTAGGTTTAAAATTTGATTTCTATTCTAGATATAGAGAATAGAAAAATAAGAAATGAAATTCTATAAATGTGAATAGTAAAGTAAGAAATAAATTTATTATGGAGTATAATTGATCAAACAATAAGTAAAATTCAAGTGATTTAATATAGTATGAACAATTTCTAAATGTATTTAAAGACAAACTATAATCACACTTTCTGGTTGCGTCTAAATTACCATAACCACTTGTACACTGAAACTTCAGATTTATTGCATAAGAATGTTAAAAATATAAATAATTATTTATGATCGTAATGTCCTGTTTTAGAATTTTCTATTAATTTTAGACAATGGAATATTTTTGTCTCAACGATGATCCTAAATCTAGATCTTAAATGCTCTATAGAGTAATAAACGATAACATTGAAACATTAATCAAATAGAATAAATGTTTACTCTCATTTGCTGGAGTAAAGCCTCTTCCATATGGTGAAAACATGGCTGGCTAAGAATCTAACTAATTACATAAATGAAGATTGTTACAATTTCAAATACCGTACAAACGTTTATATGCAAAATAAAATAATATGCCAGTTCTTATTTTATATTTTAGCTGGCAATTAAGAATCCTAAATGAGAATTGAATAACATATACAATGGAATGTACTAGTTATATATTTCGACACTTCTCAGATCGTTAAAATTAATTCAAACAGTTACCGATTTTTCATTTTTTAAAAAAACTTTAAACAGAGAAATTCAGGAAACCTTCATACAAAATACATTTATAAAGGGTTTTACTGTTAGATAAATTTAATTGGATGTATCATTATTTGGAAGCACTAAGGAGTTTAAATTTAAATATCCGCAATACATTGGTTTAAAATTTACATAAGCTAAAATTAAATTATCAATAATAAAACACAATTGTATTTTCACCATTGGGTCCAACAGCTTGCTTTGCATTATTTTTTGAAGAACTGACACTTCCTTTGACAGCCGCCGATTTTCCTGATTTTGCTCCGCCAGCTGATCCGGGGATTCCAAAAACTTCGATAATTAACGCTGTCAAACCTTGAAACAAATATAAATATGTAAATTATGTATAAACATTTCAAATGTTTTGATATTTTAACAAAACAATCTTGGTAACGTACATAAAGCTATGAGTACTGCCTTCCGATATTTCATTTTTGTAACTCTAAAATCTTTAAAGAAAACTTCAAACTATGTATAAATAAATAACAGAACTGTCAAGGCAAAATAAACTTATAAATCTGCTAACTGAACTGGAGCAACTGCAGGGATAAATAATTGAGGGGTTATACAAGAGAATGCTAACCTGTACGACAATGCGTTTGTCATTGAGCCCTTTCAAAGGCAGTTCAAGTTTTTGCAGTTGATAAATGTCAGTATTTTTCGTGTTCGTATTTCTGCTAGATGATATTTTCACCCTATCAAGTTATAAGGGTTGTCGTGTGTTATCGTGATCTGGGTAAACTCCAGAATAACTAATATTGGATAAGGTCTTTATCTTAGAAGACGTTTCCAATGTGGTCTATTGTTTGAGAAATGTTAAGACTCTCATTTATTTGCAGAAAGCTTTAAATTAGAAAATTGACAATTGAAATAGTGCTTTTTCTACTTTTCTAGTATAATGGTAAGTTTGATGTTTTCCCTTCTTTAATGTCTCCCAAAAAAGTTTAGTTTAAATTTAATTGAATGTTGAAGTAAATGACAGATCTAATGGATAAAGCCTATGGTTTAGTAATGTGACATGATTGTCATTTTTCTTTCTAGTCATTTGAACAGGATGAGGATGATCAATATGGGCAAAGTTATGAAGACCAAAAAGAATTTGCTTACAATAGATTTGAACAAGATGGAGAAGGAGTAGAAAGCAATAATATTGACCATAAGCCAAGAATTATTTTAATGGGACTTAGGAGGTTAGTTAATTTTCTGAATAATTGAGCTACTATGTGTATTAATATTAATTTCATTCTGATTAATTTCTTCCAGGAGTGGGAAAACATCAATTGAAAAGGTTGTTTTTCAGAAAATGTCACCAAACGAAACATTATTTCTTGAGTGTACAAATAAAATTGTTAAAGAAGAGATATCGAATTCTTCTTTTGTCCAATTCCAAATTTGGGATTTACCAGGTCAGATGGATTTATTAGATTCAAATCTTGATTTAGAAATTGTTTTTGGTGGTTGCGGAGCTTTAGTGTTCGTCATCGATGCTCAGGTATTTATCGTTAATTTGATTTTTTTGCAATCCTGTTATCAAAAATGTTACAAATAGTTCCCGTTTCAGGATGACTATATGGATGCCTTAAATAAACTTAATGTAACTGTTACCAAAGCCTTTAAGGTAAATCCCAATATCAAATTCGAAACTTTTATTCATAAAGTCGATGGTCTGACAGAAGATAATAAGATGGAAACTCAACGAGATATTCATCAGCGAGCTAATGATGACTTATCCGATGCAGGTATTTCTTGTTAATTTTAATTTTTTCAAAGTAGGGGTAATGCTATAGTAGTGTCTGTTTTGGATGGCATTTGGGCCAAGATCACATGACAACCCTGTACATAAAATGCCGAATTTGTTGTCTTTCTAAAAGATATGGTAGGTTATATTTTAAACAAATCTGACTTATTTAGTCATTCTTGTTTATATTTCTAGTCCAATTTATTTAATTGGACCGGAAATATAAACACAATTCGGAACATTGAAATTGTGTTTATCTCTATATTTGGCAAATAAAAGAAACTAAACTTTTATTTCAATATTCTGTATGTAATATTAACCTAATGCAGAAGTCCGTTCCTGCTACTTATTTATATTTATTAATTAGGGGTTTGGAAATTGGTCATCTAGAAATGTTTCCGAATACACTCAGTACATTGTGGTAGATGTGATCATTGCCCTCCTATCAACCAACTGTGAGACCACTGTAGTGTTATAAAAGTAAGTTATGATAAAAAGAAAGTTTTTATATTTATAAATATATTATAATTGTTTTCTTTTCTGCAGGATTTCATAATATTAACCTCAGCTTTCACCTCACTTCCATATATGATCATAGCATCTTCGAAGCATTCAGTAAAGTAGTACAAAAGTTAATTCCACAGTTACCTACTCTAGAAAATTTGCTTAACATTTTAATTTCAGTAAGTATCTTATTTATTTTTAATAACGTAAAACATGTTTACATTGGAGTTGTCTGGTTCTTCTATTTGTTTTTATTATTATTATTATTTTTTTTTTTACAGAACTCTGGTATTGAAAAAGCATTTTTATTTGATGTCGTTTCTAAGATTTATGTAGCAACAGACAGTTCTCCTGTTGATATGCAAAGCTATGAACTCTGCTGTGATATGATTGATGTTGTGATCGATATATCTGGTCTTTATGGGTATTTAATATTGTTTTATCTGTTTCTTTATATTAATTATTATTTGATATTAAATTGCTACCCCAGGTTAACACCTCAGAATAAGTTGATTTTTAGGTATGGGTGTATTCTTAGCAACAGTGCAAAATTTTTACAGTTCAATACTGTAATATCTTGAAATTATTTGTTTACATTGATTTTTTTTTAAAATTATTTTACCTTGATATTTAAGGTTCAACAGCAAAGGTCTTGTTTATTGATAAAGACTTAAATATCTCAAAATTTACTTTGTTTGAGATGTTACAGTATTGAACAGAGACAGCAATAATCTTTATGTAGGTTTGAAAATATAATTTTTTTATTATGTATATTTTTCATTTAACTATAGTTGATGAATTATTTAGGCAATTAAACTTATCAAAAATCAAGGTTCCTGTACTACAAGCTTCAAAACCAAAAATATAGATGTGAAGGTACTAAGGGGTGAAGATTAACGAGAACAATATTAGAGTCACCTAGCACGCGCTTTGGTAGAAATCAATGCTGAGCAGAAAATAGACCCATTATGGCTACAGATTAAAGAAGCAATGTTTCATACAGCAGTAGCGATATGCGGGAAGAAAAAGATAAATAGTGGATCAAAAAAGACCCACTGGTAGAATGAGGACATCCAGAAGGCTATTAAAGATAAAAAATAAGCTTAGAATGAATACATAAAAGGATAAGACTGAAACTCAAGGCCGATTTAAGTTTAAAAAAGGAATGGAGCCATGAGGATTGTTCCAGCCTCCTAAAAGCAAGCATTGGGAAGAAGTTGGAGGAGAGTCTTCAGGAAAATACAAAAGTTTTCTGGAACACTATAAAGTTAATTAGAGGTAATAAAGGAAACCAGTGTACAACATAAAATACAGACAAGGAAATCTTATTACAAAAAAAGAACCCACTATCAGGAAAGGTTTTTCTGTATGCAAGAATGCAGTGCAGGAGGGATGAGTTTATTGGTCTAAGAAGGCGTGGATTACAGGACACTCAGCCGGATGACATCGAGCTGGGTAAAGCAGCTGGCATTGACAAAATTGCACAAGAAGAAGATACGGTTAAAATGTTGCAGAGCCCCATCAAGGAAATTTAGACAGAAAAAAGAATACCACAATTCATTGTTTAATATAAATGCATCATATCAAATGAAATGCAAACAGAAGATTATAGAGTGAAAGGGATTAAGCAAGAAGTAGGAATGAAAAGGAGAGAAATGTTTTTTCATTTTGAACTGATTTTCTCTTCCATTTTCTACTGCCATGCCAATGTTTTAACCTGTTTTCTAAATGAATAATAAGTCACTATGAACAATATGTGATGTCATTATACCCACTTTAAATTGCATTCAATAGTGATACCAAGTCCAAGGAAGCTGATCATTTTTTTGCTACAACTGGTCTGTTGCTAGGTCCGAGATGTTTTCAGAGTATATATATTTTTAAAGTAATTTTTCTTCAAATTTTGTTTTTGAGGTATTAATCTAGGATCCTATTAATTTAATGTTTAAACTAAGTTATCTACTCCTTAATTCACGGAATTCATAATTTCATGTTTTTTGTCAGGATGCAAGAAGAAAATGATAATGGAGCATTCGATCATCAAAGTTCAAGTCTCATAAAACTTAACAATGGAACAGTTCTTTATCTCAGAGAAGTCAGTAAATTTCTGGCGCTTGTGTGTATTCTCAGAGAAGATAACTTTGATAAACAAGGTATTTCATTTGCCTTAATTTGAAGTATTTAAGGGGTATTTTTTAATATAGTTCTTGTTCAGTAGTCCTTTGATTTAATTTATAGAACTAATTATATTATTTATGTATCCATATGCATTAAGTCATGTTTGCTATGCGAATGATAGGTTTTTTAAAATTGATTTCATATTAATATTTTAACCAATCAATTATTGATTGTATGGATTATTAAAACTAATAAAAAAATGAGTTGATTTTAATATAGTTATTCTTGTTTTCCCTTGGTGATATTTGTGCAATGATGGTGGCATTTTTTATGACATCTAAGTGTCATAACAACAATTACATAAAATTAGCATTTAACAATATAATAATAATAAAAGACTTAGTGATCCCGAAGGTTCAATGCTGATGCCACCAATCGCTTATTACACACCTCCCTCCACCTTTTGCCGTCCAGACCCAATCCCTACAGATCGGCTTTAAAGCAATTTCCCCACCTTCGCTTAGGTCTACCCCTCGGACATTTACCATCCCTTACAGCAAATATTGACAATTACCATTCGGTACAGCAAATATTAACCTTTTAGGAGTTCTTTCGTTACTATGCCCAACAATTTAATAAGCCCATTTGATTCGCCGCGATGTAATCACCTCAATTATATTAACTGGATACAGTTCATCTTTGTGTAACTGTCTAAACTCTTCAGTTAACTCATTCTTCTTCGGTCCGAATATTCTACACAATACTTTATTTTCAAAAACCTTAAGATGTTGTGCATCCCTTAACGTAAGCGGCCATGTTTCGCATCCATAAAGAACTATATATAAAATAATGGTTTTATAGATTCTAGATTTTAAGTTCTGGCACAAGAGGGGTGAACTAAGTAATTTTGTCACAGAAAAATAACAAGCATTTCCCGCCTCCAGCCTAATCTTAATCTCCTCTTCAATTTTTTTTTTTTTTTGGGGGGTTATTGTAATGAAATGAAAATATTTTTTTATTATCCTGGGACTGTTGTCCCTTTAGGACAAATTACAGATACAGAATAAATGCCTGTGTGGCCATACATAAAATTAATTATTTACATTTATTATTAAGATTTAGATTTTGAAAAAATATAACTATTACACTAAAAACATTCTGATATGTATAATACAAACTATATAATAAAATAAAATAGCATAAGTAAAGAAAATCATTTCTGGGGGAACTTTAAAAGTTCTCTTATCTACATTTCATGATCAATCGGGTTGGGAAAGGAGTAGGTGGTTAAAAAGGAGAGATTTAAATGAGGAAACTGATTGTACATGTCGGATATTGGGAGGGATGATATTCCAGGAGGAGACAGCTTGAATTATAAAGGATTTGTTAAACGCTGCAGTTCGGTGGGGTGGTGGATAGAGGTCGGAGGTACGAGATCTAGTGAGATGGGATTGAATGGAATATTTGAATTGTAGGTTGTGAAAAATATAGGAAGGCTGCTGAGTTCTGATGACTTGGTATAGAAAAGTGGCAAGGAAGTACAAATGGCGGTTGGATGGATAGAGCCACTTCAACTTGGTGTTATACTGCGTTATATGCGTATCTCTTGAGATTCCGAAAACAAAACGTACTGCACAGTTCATCAGGCATTTAAGTTTGGCCTCGAATTCTCCCGAGTGTCCGCCATACACCAGACAGCCATAGTCGAAGTGGGGGAACACAAGGGAGGAAACCAGGAGTTGACAGGATTTATATGGAAGGAGATAGCGGAGACGGTTAAACTGTTTCAGGGTAGAGATAGTACGACGGGAAATTTGGGAGATGTGTGGTTTTCAGGAGAGGATTTGATCGAATGTAACACCAAGGTTTTTTATGGAAGTATGGAATGAGATAGGTGAGTTGTTCAGGAAAAGATTGGGGAGTATCTGTATGGATTTGAGGAGTGAGGGAGATCCGATCAGAATACCTTTCGTCTTATTGGCGTTTAGAGTAATCCTATTGTGATTTTCCCAGGCACATATTGCATTTATATCTTCCTGTAATTTTTGGATGGCGCCAGAGGATTTGGTTGGATTGAAGGAGAAGTAAATCTGGACGTCTTCGGCGTATAGATGGTATTGACAGTGAAGGATAGAGGATGAAAGGTCATTGATGTAGATGGAAAAAAGGGTGGGAGATAAAGAGGAGCCTTGTGGGACACCCCTGGACAAAGGTAAAGGTTCTGATGGGGGTTATTGGGGACTACAACATACTGGGAGCGGTCGGAAAGGAAGGATTGGAAACAATTAAGGGTACTAGTTGAGAAGGAAATATTTTTAAGCTTGGTTAGGAGAATTTTGTGGTCTACTGAGTCAAAGGCTTTGGAGAAGTCGAGGAGAATAAGGATGGTGATTTTCTGCTGGTCCATAGCTGTATGAAGGTCTTGGGAAATTTTGATGAGGGCAGACTGAGTGGAGTAGCCAGGCCGGAAACCGGACTGGTTGGGATTTAGGACGTTATTCTGTTCTAGAAAATCTGATACTTGGGTTTGAACTAGTCGTTCTAAAGGTTTAGAAAGATTTGAGAGGAGAGAAATTGGATGGAAATCATTGAGAGTTGATGGGTTGGAAGTCTTTTTCATAGGGCGAACTAGTGCGCTTTTCCAGGATGTATGAAAGGTAGCGTTTTGTAGTGAGTAATTGTAGATATGGTAGAGGATTGGAAGGATGGATGGTAGTGAGGCTTTGATCAGTCTGACTGGGATGTTATGAGGTCCATAATCATTGGTTTGCGACTTTTGAATGGAGTTGAGGAGATCATCAGGTGTAATATGGGAAAAAAAGAATTGATCAGGATTAAAATTTATAGGAAAACACACAGGAGCCGGCATAGCCGCGGGAGATGAGTATGAGAAGGGACAGGAGACAAAGTGAGCGTTAAGGTCATTAGCAGAAAAGGAGATGAGCTGGGTTTGAGGTGTGTTGCAGTATATTTTAGACCCTAGATACTTCTCAACATGCTCAAACATATTACCTTTTCTATATTGATATCATGGGCAATATCGCCATTTTTGCAGCTAACCATATATTTTGTCTTATCCGTGTTTATTTCAAGACCTAATTCTTTACCGACTTTCATTTACATTGTTGTATTTAGTATAAAAGTTTCCGTGTTCAGCACTTTGGTACTCAGAAGGAGGACACAGATCATAACTTCCCGTATTTAAAATATTGTCAAAGTGGGTGATGATTTTTAAACCTATTTAATATTTCTACCGGATCGGTCAGATTATTTTCAGCCCTAATATCAGACGTGATGGACCCTAAACATTTACGTGATCTGTTTATACCTTTGTACATGTCTCTTATGTTATTTTTTATTCTATTAGTTTCTATTTCCATTATTTTATTTTTAAGGTACTCCCTTTTTTTATTTTTGAGCAATGTTGTCGTTTCATGCTTTGAAGTTAGGAAGAATTCGAGATTGTCTTCGCTAGGATTATTTAGAGCTTTTAATTTAGCAGCTTTTCTTATTCGAACATGTTTAAACAATCTTCATCGAATCGCGGTTTTCCTTTTTCCTAAGACACGAGTTACCAACAGCTTTAACATTATCTCTGATCCCTACCCATAACTTGTCTATATGATCGCGCTCTTCATCAGAAGGTTCTAAAGTTTCAAACCTATTCTTAACCTCTAGCTCGAATTGAGTTCTAATTGATGGATTTTTCCAAATTGAATTTCTCAAAACTGTTTTCTTTTCTCTTTTTTATATTAACTTTTTGTCAAAGTTTCGCAATTAATAATTCATGATCTGACCCACATTCTACTCTGCAATAAGACCATACATTAATTATATTGCTTTGCCAGCTATATTATATTAAGACATGATCGATTTGATTTTGTGTTTGCGAATCCGGTGATATCCAGATATATTTATGAATATCATCATGTTTAAACGTTGTGCTTTTAATTATCAAGTTTTTTGAGATAGCACAGTTTATTAGATGGATCCCATTATCATTATTATATTCTTGTAAACTTTCTTTACCAATCGTTAAAAAATAAACTTCTCTCCCCACCTTTGCGTTTGCATCACCTATTAGTATTTTCATGGAGTTATGCAGTAGTTTATCATAAATCCATTCGATTTTATCATAAAATTCGCATTTGACTGCAACGTCACTGTCTTTATTAACGCGATTTTAAACCAACATCCCTGATATATGGCTAAGGAAATTATATCAATTAAGAATTTTATGTCCCTCAGAGTGGATAGCAATCTATTTCTAATTAGAAACCCGGTCCCTAAACAATGATTCCCGTTTCCTCCGTACCAAATAGTGTACTTTCCTTCTGTTATCGAGCCCTCCCCTCCAGCGACATCCAAATCGTACCCATTAACCTCATTCGTGATCGATTTTAACCCACCTGCTGAATTCAAACTCCTTACGTTCCACATACCAATATGTAAATCCCTATTTTTCAACTTGCTCCATGAATCTCCTAAAGCAGTCCCCACCCGGAGATGCGAACGTGGGACTAGTTTACCTTAGGGAGATCCATGACTATTTTTGGTGTATGGTGAACTAAAGAAATGTGAGTAGGGCGTTCAATCCTGCGTAACACTCTCCAGCAAGTCTGGAGGACCCCTCTCATTGTTGGTCAGCGATTCCATCAGACTTAGCCAGGAGAAACTTCCAAGAATTTCCACCGACCATCCTCACATCCAGCACCTGTGGGACGCTTCCCATACACGGTAATGAGCCCGAGCTTGGAGCATTAAGCATTATTAAGTAAAATTAAAAAGCTGTCTGAACACTACAATATTTACATTAAAAATATTTATAATTTTCTTTCTGCTCTTCATATTGAGAATATCTATAGTTTAAAACCATCACAAGACAACACAAATCATTATTGCTTGTAAACTGTAAAATAAGCTTGTAAAATTTATTTACTTTTCACATATTATAATAGTATACATGTTTTTATATATTCAGTAACTAAAATTAGAGAGTAAGGAAATGAAAGATATATTAGTTGCAACCTAATTCCGCATGAGTTCAGTCAGGTTGGCAACTAATAGTAGAGGAGTTATAGTTTCTTTATTTCATGTTATAAAAAAGGGGAACTAATGTTATTTATATTTGATTTATTTTTTTTCTCATAGGTGTCATAGACTACAACTTCCTCTGCTTTCGGGAGGCAATAGAACAAGTATTTGAAGTCAGAAATAAATTGTGTAATACTGCAAATGGATCATTGTGATTAGTGAATGATTTTTTATAGAGCAATCTAATGTTTTTACTTGTGATTCAGGTTCATCTGTTTTTGCATGACTCACAGATGTTGATTGTAATTGTTGAAAATAGCACAAAATGTATGACAGTGGCATGTATGTTCATTCGAATCTCAGATGCCACAGCCATGTGAATCAAAACAGGCATCCATGATATATTTTGTATTTGACAATATCTAACCTATAGAGCAATGAAATTTATTAGCGACTATTATGTATTTGTTATTATTTATTTATTTATATAGCTTATTTATATAATTATTATGATAGATAAATTATTTGCGGCACCATGTAATTT